AGGGTTTCAAGCAGGGATCTCTCCCAGTTGCGTATTGATTAAGCCACAGCCTGATTGCAGAGAAATGCAGCTCTCTGCTGACATTTCTACTACTACATAAGTAAAAATGTGATTCCAGCATCTTCCTCCTTTCTAAAATCAGTTTAAAATGTTCTCATTCCTCTTCTATTTTTTCTGCCTATGTATTTTTTGTCATTCTCCCACCTACCTACCTACCCACCCACCCATCACAATACCAACCCTCCCTTAAATTCATATTCGTCCTGGTAAACGAAATGGCATGTACTGAGACAGGTGCATGCATGTGCATGTGGCAGAGTAACAGGGATATGGGAGGCGGGGTAGGAGAGAGAGGGAGAGAGAGAGAGAGAGAGAAGCGCAGCATGTTGTGTCATTAAAAAGTGCCGTGTATTACCCGGCAGCCACCCCATCTGCTTTCCATGGGCATCCCAGGAGAACTTGGCGATTATGAAGGAATTCTCGGAGGCCATTACTGGGAAGAGGAAAAAAGGCTTGCTGCAGACAGCTTAATGGACTAATTTGTAACTGCGAGAGCAGGAGAAATGAGTTGTTGGCCGCGTTTTAATTTGACAGCAAGTGGCAGAACGAATGCTAAATGTGATGAGTGAGCAGGCGCGTTTGTTTCCCCACTGCACTTTGCTCAGGCCTCTTGGCTCTCCCAAGGGGCCTGTCACTATTATTTTTCCCTTCTGCACTGACTTGAAGAGGATGGGGGAGGGCAAAGGAGGCAGAATGTGATCAAGCAGACAGGGCTCGGGGTATAATTTCCTACGGATGTTATACAACGAAGAGAGATTAAATGTCTAAGACTTTGATGCATGGGCACATATTGTGTTTAGGGCGCTGGGCACCTGTACATAGCGTGTGCTTAGAGCGGAATGCTCCCCCCAATTTGCAGGGGTTAGAGTGGCATAGGCATGGGTTATAAATTGTGCGTGGTTGAGTCCTCACTTTGGGGATGCTGGACTGTCCCAAAGAAAACTGTCCTTGTCTTCTCAGAACAGAGGAAGCTGTTTTATACTGAGTAAGAGTCCATTGGTCCATCAAGCTCAGTGTCATCTACACAGACTGGCAGTGTCTCTCTGGGGTTTCAGGCAAGGCTCTCTCCCAGCCCTACCCAGGCATTGAACACTCTGCCACTGTGCTAAGTCCTCTCCCTAAATCAGTGGTGTCCAAACTTTTTCAAAGAGGGTCAGATTTGATGAAGTGAAGGGCCATGAGGGCCAACCAAAGGGCCAGCCAAAGTTGTTAACATTTTTTTTAGTTGTTGAGCTTTTTTAAGGATTTTACCCCAGCAAATAAACTGCTGCAGGGGCCGGATTAAACCGACCGGTAGGCTGGATTAGGCCCCCCGAAATGGACTTTGGACATGCCTGCCCTAAATGAAAGTAGGTTTTCCTGTTGCAGCATTTTTTCTGATGTAGTGATGTGTGGGTGTATTTAGGAATATCAAAAGCTGCCTTCTACTGAGTCAGAGCATTAATCCAGATCAGTATTTTCTACACTGAGTGGCCACAGAGGACATTCCCATCACTACCTGGAGATGCTTGGGATTGAATCTGAGACCTTCTGCATGTGAAGTGAATTGTCTACCACTGAGACTTTTTGCCAGGACAAACATTATTGTTGCAAGTGGGACCTACAACAAAACCTTTCCATGTATGGTGTGGCTTCCCCCACACAGATACTCCATTGCATTCCCCGTCCTGCCTAGGTTTCTACTTTTCTTCCACTAGTCATTCATTTTGTGGCCACTGAGGATGTTCAGTCCTTGTTGAGCTGTTTTGAGTCTCTTCTGCACAGCCAGCTTTTCCCTTAAATATACTTTGATCTGCTGCAAATTTTGGGACTGCCCCACGCCTGCTGATGCCTCCATCTTGTTGATTTGGCTATCCAAATACTGACACTCACCTCTGAACTTCAGAATTAGTGGGAGCAATTAGCACTGTCATTGGAGCGTCATATGAGTTTAATTTGATTAATCAGTTAAATTTGCATAAACTCGAATATTTTACTCATATGCAGGTAAATCAGTCATACCCTGTAACGCCTGTTTTTATACGGTGGTTTTATACGTTGTGTTTGTAATAAATATATTACATTTAAACAAATCATTTTGAAGTGAAAAGAAGTATTTCGCATACATGTTGCAATAGGTATAATTCTAGAGGAGGCATTCCCTCCTATTTAGAAAAGAAGGAGGAATGCCTCTTTTAGCAAGGTACTTCCCATCTGCAGTATTAATGAATACCTGTGTGGAAATGCTGCTGAATTAATTAGGATGCCTTGATTAATATAATCAATTAAACCTTGCAACTCTATTATTTGCATTTATTTTATTCACATAGACATAAAACTGCAAAAAAACCATAGATCTCAACAGGGATGGTGCACTTAAAACACACGCACACACTCCTAAGTCACATAAATTATACTTTTAACACACATTCATAATTTAAGGAGCAAGAAATGCTTCTATATTATCTGTACCACTAAAATAATTATTGCTCCATTTTGAATACATCTAAACTATTTTAATTAGAAGATACTCCTTGCTTTATCCAAATGAAATTAGTCAGTTTCACCAATTTCCTCAACTAAAAGAGGATTAACAAATATCCAGGCTTCTGCAATTCCTGTCATTGGTCCTGACAACATATTTATTCCCACCTTGTTGTTTATTGTCTTCAGCACATTATCAGAAAAAGGCGGAGCAAATATACCACTGAATAAAGGAGTGATTCATGCTGTGTCCTTCCATGCATGTATAGCAGTAGGATGTTGATAGTGGAGGTCCTTTGTTTGTTCCTTTTTCCAGGGGTTTTCATCAGAATCCCCTGCTAAAACTACAAATCCAGATTTGGGGGTGGGATTGGACAACGTGCTCTCAGTATGGCCCTCCAGGTGGCCTCATCTTCTTCCCCTCCTTGCTGTACTCCCACTGCACATTTGTTTGCCTCTCCCTCTGGCCCCAAACTATACCACCTTCCAGATGGAGGCTAAGGTGTGCTGCTTTCCTCCTTTCCTCGCTCCTCTTCTTGCTTGTTTGGGGAGGACAGATGAACAGGCAACAGAAGCGAGGAGGTGGAGGCTCCTAGAATTGGCAGGGGGGTCTCAGCAGGCGCCTGATAGTGCCAATCCCCAACATTGGCCTTGTTGGAAACTTTAAGAAACAGCAACCATTGATCGGCTAAATAGACTCGCCCTCCAGTTCTGGGGAGATGCTTAGTGCCACAACTGACATGAAGCCAAAAATAGAATTAAAAACTGGATGGTCCACTGCTTATCTGAACAAGGCAAGTCCATCCATCCTCTGCCTTTTATGGCAAATCTCTCTCTCACACAAAAGATTATCACCAAGTATTAGATATTCAGAACTGGTCCAAAGTAGGTGGCTTTGTGGCCAGCATTTCTCCAGGATGCTATGTAGGCAGAATAACCCAAGTCTTACCCAACCCCAGCAAGCCTCCTAGTTCAGAGTTGATTTGCAATTCTCAAAAACTATGGGTCTTGCCAGCTGTGTGTACAGTGATGTTAATTAGAGAGTAAATGTGTGCAACATTATGATTTTCAGGCAAGCAAAACAAGCAAGCTATTGCTTCCTCACTGTGCAAATAAATAAATAAATCAGGGTATTTCAAAGCATATTGACACCCCCTCCACCCCCCAAAAGAAAATCTTTTCCTGATTAAATTGTAAGTGGTTATAAAAAGTGGGGAAAGACTGCCTCCTTTTAAGGATGTTGTATATTTTTGGACATCTGTGGAAAGGAAAACAGAAATACTGTTTGATCCTAACTCTCTTTATTGCATGTATCCTGTTCCTGGAACACCCTGATGTTATGAGACATGATTTGATAAGGACATATTTTTATGTTCCTTGTGTTAGCTGGTTGAAACGTATCCTGGAGTTCCTGTCTTTTACAGGGCAACCACAAATTATATGCACCATATCAAGCTAATGTTCAAGATAAGGCTATCAAGGAGACTTACAGCAGTTCAGGGGGGAAACAAAAACAAAGCACAAGGTACAACCATCTTGGGACTGTACAGTTTCATAACACCCCAGCCCAGCTCTCCTCAAAATAAACTTGTGTTTTCTTAATGTTCTCAGGGGGGAAAGCTTACTGGTGTTTGGTTTAATTTTCTCAAACTTTTTTCCAAGAAAACTCAGAGAAGCCAAATCCTCCTCACCAATTCCTGCTTCTTCCCAACGACTAAGTTTTGAATTGGACCTTGAGGCATAAGAAACTACAAGTCTCACCCTGGTTGGAAATAATATCCAAGTTTTAAGGTGTCAGCAGTGCCCACCAGCAGCCTTGGGAGGAGGGGATTGTCAGAAAGGGTTGACTGGAATATTTTATACTTCAGCACAGCAGTTTATAATATTCTATTATGTGGGGAGGAGAGGATTGCCGAGAATTATTTGGAGGAACTTGAATTTTGTTGCAAACCCAACTAGTTTGTTTCGTAAATGGACGAATGTGAACGGGAATTAGTTGTGGAATTTTGTGGCAATGTTGAAATTGAACTGGAACTAGGTAAAGGTAAAGGGACCCCTGACCATTAGGTCCAGTCGTGGCCGACTGGGGTTGTGGTGCTCATCTCGCTTTATTGGCCGAGGGAACCAGCGTACAGCTTCTGGGTCATGTGGCCGACACGACTAAGCCACTTCTGGCGAACCAGAGCAGCGCACGGAAACGCCGTTTACCTTCCCGTCGGAGTGGTACCTATTTATCTACTTGCACTTTGACGTGCTTTCGAACTGCTAGGTTGGCAGGAGCAGGGACCGAGCAACGGGAGCTCACCCCGTCGCAGGGATTCGAACCCGCGACCTTCTGATTGGCCTAAAAGGGACTTTCCAAGCTCTGGTCATTTTTAAGATGAAAAAGGAGTCATGCCCTTCAAGAAGTAAGCTTAAAAGAAGGAGGTACTTATTGGAGTGTTTTAAAGGCAAATGAGAAGGAACTAAGAAGTGGTCACAAAATTGCAAAGGAACATTGTACATGCATAATTGGATGGGGGGAGTGGACATGATGAAGGGAGCGCTCTATATAAATCTCTTATGAGAAGAAGAAGCACAGATTCCAGTCTTTCTGGGAGTTTACTGTGTTTCTACCTCTCATCCAGAATAAAATGTTACTTGGAGGAGCTTCTACCCATAAGTTGACTGACTCTCGCTTACTGAATTTAAATGGTTGCAGCCGTTTATCTCCCCAGTCTTTTCTTTTACAATTGAGGGACTCATGTGAATTTTATGTTTCAGTTTTACTGACAAACTCCAACCCTAAAATTTCAGGAACATATGGGTAGGTTCCTTTCTGTAGTCCTAGAACACAGTTGTTAAAGGGAGGATCCAAGTAAAAATTGCCTGTATTTTTGATCCTGAATTTTGTTATACCCTTCTTTTAAAAGGCACAATCTGCATGTTGTTTATGGTCAATAGACCCAATAACCCAAACTGCTTACTCAACCAGAACAGCCACAGCCCTCTAGTAATTTTTTTAAAAAAATCCATTGTCATTTCAGCTTCTTTTTAAAAAAAACAACCACACACACTGTTTATCAGCTTGCACAGATGAAGCTTTAAAGATGGGTTGCTGATGACTAAAGATGCTCGCAGTTATGCCCTAGCAAGCTAGTTAGCCAGGTCCTTGCTTCTCAGGTTGCCGTTGCCTTTAAATCCAGGGTAAGGCGGTGTCTGTTGCTCCCCACATTTCTGCTATTTAAAGCAGTTTCACTTGTCAAGACAGTAGGGCCCCTCCTGCTACTGCTGCTGCCTCATTTCTTCCTCTCTCTCTCTCTCTCTCTCTCTCTTTACCTTCCAGCTCACTGCCTCTGTTCCTGGGGGCCTCGGGAGGCTTTAACAAGCTCTAGATTGTTAGTGACAGTCAGACACTTTAACACTTAAAGTAGAAGGTTTGATTTAATCGCAAGGCTGTCATTTATTATTTGTCTGCTGTGTTCCGCTGGGGCGCCCGCTGATCAACTGCCTGCTCCCAAGAGTGCTTTCTTTTCCTTTCCTCCCCCCCCCCTTTTTTTGTTATGTCTAAATCCTCAATACAAATTGCAGAGTTTCTGCATCTCCCAGTGGGACCCATTACCGCCTGTGGGGCATTAAGGATCATTAATAGTGCTGTCAGCAAGCTAGCCAGTTGGTTAGCTTCTCATAAATAGGAAATTAATCCATCTACTTCATTAATAATGCCGAGTGTAGCTATTTTGTTGCTCTCGGTGTAACGGAGGCCCCAGTTGCATGTATGTAATGTGATAAGACAGGACTCCAAATTAGCATAGAATGTCTGATTCAAGAGCACAGGCTCAATTACTTAGAGAAATGTTGTTTTAGGTTTTTTTGGTGTTTTTGTTTTTGTTTTTACAAAGAAATATTATTGCGAACAATTTTAGACATCCTTCAGCAACAAGGGGTGCTTCCAGATGACCTATTTATTGAGTGTCATCCTGATTTGTTTGCAGGGAGATCAGACAACGTTGACTGTTTATTGGGCATTTGTTCCAGTTCGTTTGTGGGGAGGTTAGATGACACTGCATCAAAACAAGCTTTATCCCACACTTTCCGGTGCATTTTCTTGTCACTTTCCTTATCTCAAAAAGTCCAATTTTGGGGGGAAGCAGGTTTTTTAGGAACATAGGAATCTGCCTTATACCAAGTCAGACCATTGGTTCATCTATCTCAGCACTGTCTACTACACTGACTGGCAGGCGCTTTCCAGGATTTCAGATGGGGAATCTCTCCTAAGCCTACCTGGAGATGTAGGCGATTGAACCTAAGACCTTCTGTAATGCAAGGCAAATATTCCCCTAAAGACTTCCCAATCAACTACAATTCTGCAATCTGAATTTGCCAGTATGCAATTGAATCCTACCTAAGCATTATGACTGTCCAAGTGACCAAGTTAAAATTGCAAAAGGAGGGGGGGATAAGAAGGGTCCCAGTTGACTTCATTGTTGTTGTTTGATTAGAGAACGTGATTTGTTTTAGTGTGTTGTTTTAGTGTGTTGCCATGAAGAAGCAGAGGAGAAAAAGAAGGCTTCCAAAACGTGAGGCAACCTTACCCAGGAACAGGTACAATGCTTTGTAATTAGGCTGAGGCTCAACACATCATATTCCTCCAGCATTTCCTGCCCTGATTTTATAACTGTAGTCCTTGAAGGATAATTAAGACCTTGAAGGAGTTGCATGGAGCTCTTAGTTTTGAAGGAGGTTGAAACACAGATGAAAAGAAATAAATGGAGGGGGGAGCTTGGTCACCAACCCACCCCTGTGGTGCAACGCATAGTGCTCAGTCAAACTGAACGTTCCTGACACTGTCAGGAAGCATGTCAGCAAAGGTCACAAGAGCAGTGCAGTTCTACAGAAAACATTGAAATTAGTCCATACTTGTTTACACAAAGATACAGAGCAGTCAGCCCATCCAAATGGCTACTCCCCTGGATTTTAATCAACCCATCCATTAATAAATAGGTTAAATTTAGATTCAGGTACAAATTGCTAACCTCAGTGAGTGTGCAATATAAAACAACACAGGATGCCACAAAATGATGCAGTGTGAAATGTTCTTGTTCAGTGTTCCAGCCAGCTAGCCATGCCCTTTTCTGAGATACAGTGGTATCTCGGGTTAAGTACTTAATTCATTCCGGAGGTCCGTTGTTAATCTGAAACTGTTCTTAACCTGAAGCACCACTTTAGCTAATGGGGCCTCCTGCTGCCGCCGTGCCGCCGGAGCATGACTTCTGTTCTCATCCTGGAGCAAAGTTCTTAACCTGAAGCACTATTTCTGGGTTAGCGGAGTCTGTAACCTGAAGCGTATGTAACCTGAAGCGTATGTAACCTGAGGTACCACTGTACTCCATTCCACTCAACCCACCCCAAATGCCCAGTGGCAGGAAACGTAGGGTCAAGAGGGATGGCAGAAGATGTGGAGCATTTAACCACTGTACAGCGCAATCTTGCACATGCCTACCCAGAAGTAACAGACCCATTGAATGCAGCAAGACTTATCACCCAGGTAAGCATGTGCAGGATGGCAGCCATAATTTCACAGGAGAGCACAAAAGCTGGAGCCTCTGTCAGAATTTGGACTCGCTCAGCTTTTGAATTGTTTAATTGTATGTTTGTAGCTCTTGTCATTATGTTTAGGTGACGTTTGTTTAAAAACTGTGATACCAGAGAAGAAAACAAGTTGTTCATGCTGCCTCCTAAGTATAGCGCAAGGAACAATGGTTTTCTGCTGTAAAATATGTAGATCAGGACTGGGGAACCTGCAGGCCTGCAGGTGCTATTGGACTCCAGCACCCATCAGCCCCAGGCATCATAGCCAGTGGTCAGGGTCGATGAGACTGGAGGGTCACAGGCTCCCTAGCCCCGATGTAGACATTGGTTATTAGGGGAAACTTTCCAGGTTAAAAAAAAAAATGCAGCCTAGCAATGGAATAAGAAGGCTGGGAAAGATCTGGAGCCTTCATTCTTGAAAGCTTTCCAGAAAACCCTGGGCATGCATTCATCAGGAATCCATTAGGGATAGTACACCTCACAATAGGGTAGGTGTGCATGTGTGTATAATATATACAAAAGCTGACAATTGGAAGTCATTTAGAAGTCCTGTTCCAAATAATCCCACATTTTGCTACTAGGAAAGTGGCAGCAGTAAGAGAGTAGGTGCTTAAGCACTGCCAGAAAGAGAAGACAGAATGGCATAAAATGGCACAAAAATTTGTGTATGCTAATTTATATATATAGTTGTAAATTTAGAAACAATAACTATAATTTAAGTAGAGATTCCATGCATCTTGCCATAAAGTGGAAGAATGTGTCCAGATGACCTGTGACCTGCGTATTGAGCATTCATCCTCATTTGTTTGCAGGGAGAGGAGGTGACATATTTAAATGCACTGCTCAATAAATATAAATAAATATAATATAAAATATAAAAAATGTATGTCCCATTCTTCTGGTGCCTACACACCACTCAGGGATGCTGACAACACTTAAAACCAACCATAAAATGCAATTCAAGTCCCGCCCAAAACCCATGGTGTAATAAAAACAGTACAGCAGATTTAAATAAAAGCACTCAATAATTAAAAAAACCCTGATCTATGGGACAAAGCAAATGCCTGCCTAAACAGAAAGGTTTTTGCCATATGGCAAAACACTGCAAGAGAGGGAACCGGTCAAATGTCCCTGGGCAAAGAGTCCCATAATATATTAATGCATGTACCTATAAAAACTGCAAAGGGTGAATACCAGAGTAAGAGGCATTTCCCTTTTCTCTTATACAGACATGGAATGTGTGCACCATCTGAAGCCAAAAGAAGCATTCTTTCTGCTTCAGAACTATATTTTTATAGTTGCATAAATTTAATCAACCTCTTAAGCATATGTGTTTAAGCTCATTACATGACTAAGGTTTTTTTAAAAAATATTAATAAATAAATAGAGTGACAGCTCTATAAATTACTCTTAGGCCCGTCATAGTAAGTCACAGTTTACCTTAAACCATGGTTTTGTTGTGATTTCACTTGCCCCCTGCCATTCAGGTTCTTGCACAGCTTCCCTTTCACTCTCCCCCAACCTCTGTGCAGTGGAAACAAGCCATAATATCTCTTGTCGTATCTTCCAAACCCAGACCGTGGTTCAGGGGTGCCAACTTGAATGAAATATTGTGGGTGCCCAGGTAAGCCCCATCCCGCATAATCAATCACATGACATAGTGTACACAAACCATCTCAATAGAAATGCCCATCAACTGGGGGGGGGCTCAAATATTTTATTGTGGGGGCCAAACCCCCACGGCCCCTAGGAGATGGCTCTTATGCCATGGTTTGTTTGTAAACCAAGTCAAAAATAAACTTATACACGTTTGCTTGAAACAAATGAACAAATCATGGTCTGGTTTAGATGACACAACAAACCATAACATGGCTTGCTTCAGTCATGCACCGGGAGAATGATTCTTTTGCAGGGGAGGGGCAGGAGAGAGGTACATTCACAATTAAACCAAGGTTTAAGACAGGCATCCCCAAACTCGGCCTTCCAAAAGTTTTGGGACTACAACTCCCATCATCCCTAGCTAATAGGTCCAGTGGTCGGGGATGATGGGAATTGTAGTCCCAAAACATCTGGAGGGCCGAGTCTGGGGGTGCCTGGTTTAAGATAATCTGTAGTTTATTGTGACGTGCAAACAAGGCCTTTGACTGAAATCCTGTACCCACTACACCCTGGGAGTTGGGCTGACTCCTGAGTAGGGATGTATGGGGCCATACTGTTACAGAGGTTTGTTTCTGAGCACAGAATACTAGGTTGTAAGACTACAAAGAAAAATTGCAACACTATTGGGACTTTAGCCGGAGATGGTAACCATTCTTATTATTTATTTCTGTCCTGGGATAGAGAGCTTAAGAACGATGAGGATGAAAAGGAAAACCTGGGTTGTGGTTCCCCCTGTAAGGAAATGAGAAACACAGGTTTGGAAAGGATGCCAGCTCTCAGATCGAAAGACTATTTTTATTCTCAGCATGTCCAAATGGCTTGGGCATGTGATCCAAAGTTTGACTTGCTTTGTTTCATTTTTAAACAGACTAACAGCACAGCCCTGTGCATATGTACTCAGAAGTGAGCCCCACTAAATTCAGTGGGGCTTACTCCCAAGTTAGTGAATATACGATTGCTGCCTAAGGCTGCAGCCCTATACCCACTTATGAGATTTAATCCTTGAATTCAATTAAACTTAACTTCTGAGTGCCTATGTATATGATTTATTCATTTATTTATTTAAAAGCATTTATAAACTGCTTAATATTTTTTTTAAAAAAAAATCTCTTAAGTGGCATTCATTGTAAAAACAATAAACAAAATAATAAAAATTCCAGCACAAAACCAGCAAACCAGTGGTTATATAGAAGCATACTAAAACCGGAATTCAAACAAATAAAAATATGGTCCTATCTTATCTGTCGGGGAAAGCCTGGGCAAAAAGATACTGGTAAGTCTTTGCACAATGTTTGGAGCAACTGATGCTTAGGTTGCTTCATGCAAACAAATAAAAATATGGTCCTATCTTATCTGTCGGGGAAAGCCTGGGCAAAAAGATACTGGTAAGTCTTTGCACAATGTTTGGAGCAACTGATGCTTAGGTTGCTTCATGCATGAGAAAGGGAAGGGCATTCCATAGCTAGGGGCAAAAGTGCCTGTTTTCGGTATTCGTCCTATGGTATTCTCTAGGGTGCAGCACCAGAAGTAGAATATCCCCACCTTATCTAAATGATATGACAGGTTTGTGCAGCAGCAGGCAGCTCTTCGCATAACCTGATCCCAAGCTGCATACATCCTTCCAGAATGCTTCATCCAGCATCATGGCCAATGGTCAGGGAGGATGGAAGTTCAGCAGCATCAAGAGGGCACAACATTGGCTACCCCCTGCTGTAAAATACAACAGGGAAGCAGTGCCTGCCTGTATCTTTTTAAAATATCCATAGGAGTAATTTGCCAGGTGCAGCTTTCTGGTGAAAAGCATGTTTGGGGCCCCCTCAAAAGAATGCCTCTTGCCCTAAGAAAGAATGATAGCACTGGGATGGGAACATTAAACAAAGCAGGTGATGAGATTTGCAGCGTCGTGACATGCGCAGCCCTTCATTTTATCATCACAACAACCACGACTGGATTAAGCATTAAGCAAAATAAACATGGTGTCAAGGGAAGGAGGGCACCACAAAAAATTCCCATTGCCGGATTTACCATATGGTGCAGCTGAGCAAAAAAATAAACATTATTTATACAGATATACAGGTTTTGTTCCATTTCAAAAAACAAAATTTTATTTTACGGTTTATTATTGTTTGTGTTTTGAATTATATATATAAGGGGGCACCAAAATCTTGTAAGTGTTTAAGGCCCCTAAAGGTCTTAATTCAGCCCTGATAATAACCCTGGAAGAGAGACTAACAGACCCAGCATCATCCAATGGACTTATTGACTGAATGGGGATATTGAACTCAAGTCCTCAAGGTCCAACACTGGATTCACGACATTTCCCTCCCTCCAGTATCTTTTTGCCTTTATGTCTTCTTCCCAGAAGCATCTGGCTGGCCACAGATGCTAGACTCAATGAACTTTTGTTCAGATCCAGCCGGGTTCTTCTTATTCCTACAGTGCACAGATGAGGAACCTGTGGACCTCCAGATGCTGCTTCAGTCCATCTCCCATCAGCCACAGCTGGCATGGCCAATGATCAGGGATGATGGGAATTGCAGTCCAGCAATATCCAGTTGGCACCAAGTTGGTTATCCCTGAGTTAGCCCATTTTTTTGTGGCTGCTACCACCTCTCTTCTTCTCAAGAGGTGGAGTTGTGCTCTTCTCTCATTTGCACCAGGGTGGGGTGAGTAAGACTAAACAGGAGTCTCTTCCACCACTCATGTGAGACTAATACGCTTTTCTTCTTTCTCCAAATCACACCCCAATTCAAGTTCCAGAATGGGAGGGGATTTGTATATTATTGGGTAACTGGCCAGCCCGACAGTTGTTCTTGGATGCCTGCTAAGGGCAACTTCCAAATAATCCTTGGCTACCCTGGTGGGGTAACCTTGTCAAAGGGCTGACAAG